GGGACTTGGAACTTTCTTTTCATTGAAAGTGTGGAAAAAGGGGACAAAAAAAACAACAAAGCAAAAATACTCTTAAAAAAACACATTTTTTTTCTATGTTTGTTATTAATATCTCTTGTTCTGGATGTGACAATATGATTATTTTGTAAGAAAAACATCAAAACTGAACACGTTTGGGTGTGACGGCGTCTAAAGAAAAAAAAAAGGTACCTTGGAGTTTTTAGTGAAAAGGCCAAAGGAGAGGAGAGAGGAGGCACGAGGCAGGGCAGGAAAAATCCTCGCCAAAAAGGAGGATCTGATTGGTCGCACAGAGCCTGAGGTCGAAAGGAAAGGTGTCGCCGGTGCCTTCCGTCCCTCTGCTCGCACGCACGCGCTCTCACACACATACACAGACACACACACACGCACACTCACTCACAGGTGGCTGTGACGACTCGCTCAGTGCTCGCCCAATCAGAACACGGCACGTCCAGCCTTCTCGTTGCTGTAGAAAGACTAGTGATGGATAGTAATAATCCATAACATATCCATCAATGTTTTGGCCTGGATGGTTGAATAATTCTAATAATAATAACAATGCTGTATTGATAATAATACTTAAACAAAGGTGTATTTAGCTGTTTAAAACAAACAAAAAAAGTTTATATGTAAATATTGTTTTACTTTTCTGGCATCACTAATCATCTGCCTGGGTTTTTTTTATATCTTTTTTTAATTTATCTGTTATTATTTTATATGAGCTGTGCTCTCATCACACACACACACACACACACACACACACACACACACACACACACACACTCACAAAACTTCTGATTTTTGTCCATTTTCACTTCTAGTCAAAGTATTCTTGTTCATTCTGACTTTCTATCCCAACATTTTGGACCATCGTCAGTACCTGTCCCCATATTTGTGTCTTTTGTCCCAATATTGTTTTTACTTCCAAATAGGACAATGACCTTGTGTCACAATATTTTTGTCCATTTTCACTTCCTGCAAGTACAAGTACAATGGACGTGTCCAGATACTTTTGTCCACTTCAACTTCCTGTCTGAATGCTTTTGTTCATTTTCATTCCTTTCCCGACATTTTTGTCCATCTCGACCTTGTCCGATTCAATTTCTCTAGATCCAAGAATCGGAGTACTTTTGCTAATTTTCTACTTCCTGTCCTGACATTTTACACGCACACACACAAACACACACACGCGCACACCTACGCACCCGTGTAATGCAATACTATCGATGAATCACATGGCTCGCCGTCAGCCCGTTTCTTATCAATTGGTTTTAGCCATCAGTTGCTGCGCGGCTTTGCAGCCGTGCCCCCCTTACCGTCAACGTTTGCATGACTTTCATTTACCTGCAGAGGAGAGGGAGGTGGGGCAGGTTTGGACTTGCGGGGTGGGTGGTGCTTTTTATCTTAGAGATTGTAACCACGTCAGTGCGACTGGACTCGTAGCTTCTTATACTCAGTACTGTAGATAAAAACAAAAACATGCATGGGAGTCAAAACTATATTAGTGCGTGTGTGTGAGGTGGTCGACTGTGTGTTAAACTCTTTTAGCAGTTCTCACGCTCTTCCACAGACAGGTGACATTTCGTTCACTGGTGTGTGTGTGTGTGTGTGTGTGTGTGTGAACAGCTCATTTGAAAATTATAGTTGTGTGTGTGTGTGTGTGTGTGGGAAAGAGTGATGTGTGAGATAGAAAGAACAGGTGTGTGTCAGTATAAAATGTTACCAAGACAAGTGTGTATGTGTGTGTGTGTGAGTGAAAGAGAGAGATGTGTGAGAGGTGTGTTTGCAAGAGAGAAAAATATTTGAGAACAGCATGACATTAAAATGTATGAGAGGTTTGTGTATAAGTGATGTTACAGCTAGAAAGAGAGATACCAGTGAGAGAAATGTGAGTGATGTGTGTCACAGGAAGAAGTGTGTGGGGAAGTAAGAGCGCTGCGAAGAGGTGACAGAGAGAAAACTATGTGTGAGAGTGAATGTATGAAATGTGTGTGAGAATTTCTTCCAGAGAGACGGATGTGTGCCAGAGAAAGAGAAGTGTCTCAGAGAAATTTGTGTAGAACATACAAATATGTGAGATGTCTGTGTGAGAGAGAAATATGTGTGTGTGAGAAAGATGGGTCTCATCTGAATCTGGTGTGTGTGTGTGTGCGTGTGCGTGTGTGTGTGTGCGTGCGTGTGTGCGTCTAAACCTGTCACTTGCATGTGTGCGTGTGTGAGAGCACCTCAATTGAACCCGCCACTTCCAAGTGTGTGTGTGTGTGCGCGCGCGCGCGCAGACCTCAACCGAACTTGCAACTGCGGGTGCGTGTATTTCACAGTTCAACATAGCGTGCACTGAGTGTGTGCACGTGTGTTTGCTTACTCACAACCGAATGTCTCTCTCACGCACACACGCGCATATGGCGAGCGTGTCCGTCCACACGCCGCTTCCGCACAGGCAGGAGTGACGTGAACACGTGTTGTCTTTTCTAAAGTGACTCTTGTCTCAAAGTGTGTGAGTGTTTGTGGCCCAGCTTGTGCGCGGGCGTAGTGCGCGTGAGGCCGAAGGAGGCGGACACGACTTCTACGTTTTGCTGTTCTCTCATTCCTGTTTTTATACATTTGCATTTTTTTAAGGCTGAGTTCTTCGTGTCATTTGGCTGCGTGAGTGTGCGAGGGGGGCCCAACCTCCGCGTGCGTCACTGTCGCCCTGTCACTAATCTGCCTCTCTGTTCCAAATAAAAGACCTGATTGGCTAAAAAAAACAAACTCTTGTCTCTCGATTTACTTTATTTACACAGAGATCCCCGTGAAACAAGACACCCCAGTGATCACGTGACATCAATTTTGATGTTGAAAATTGGATTTTGATGTTGAATTGACATCAAAATCCCACTGGCACTTTTAGCTTCTTGTCCCAGTATTTTGGATCAATTTCTAATTCCTGCAAGTGTGGCGGCCTCTTGGTCCAGTGCTTTCGTCAAATTTCATTCCCTGTAACTTTCATTTTTGTGCATTTTTACTTCGTCCTGATACATTTGGCTAGTTTCACTTCCTGTTGACGTGACAGCCACTCGTCCCAATACTTTTGTTCAGTTAAAACACTTTTTGTACATTTCTACTCCCTCCTCCAATATTTTGTTCATTTCCACTTCCTGTCTCAATATTTTGGTCCATTTTCACCTCCTGTAGTTGTGATGGCCACCAAGACAAATCCCCGTTTTCACTTTTTGCCTCAATATTTTTTGACCATTCTTTCTTGCTATTCCAATATTATTTCGTCACCGTGTGGAATTCAAGCTCATCTCCAGCTGCCGTTTACAAACCACAGACAAATATAACCGGTGGTCATTTCTCAGATACGTGGCATCACTTCAAATATGTATCAGCATACTATTGAATTCGGAGTGATGTTACAAAAATGCATGGGAGCAGATAACCGTAAGCACCCCATCTGGTGGCCGACAGGAAGACCCGCAGTTAAATCAACGCCTCATTAGGGAGTAATTGTGACAAGACGTGCGTTGTGATGTTTGGCTTGCAATTAACAGCAACGTCGCAGCGCATTTAGTAAACATTATTAAGCTAAATCAACATTTGACATAAATTTGTCCTAAATGTTCCGCTTTTGTGGCTTATTTTAAAGAAATCAAAACAGGTTGTACCTGGTGTTCATCAACTCTGCTGCTTCTCCCTCGCTGATTGGCTGCCACGCCCGTCACGTGACTTGTATCAGGCATCATCAATCAAGCAACCAATCATTCAATCCTACCCGCGACTGGTCTCGTCTAGTCCTGCGGAGACGGCTTAATTGCTCTTTAGCGCTTCCGTGAAGACATGGAGGAAGACTTAAGCCATACATCTGGTAAATTCGCCTTTTGAGTTGTCACTTATTAGTTAATTTATTAGCATTATTAGCTCAGTCCTCTCTCATTGGCTAGCGAATTACTTCGACTTGCACCGTAATTTCTTTCACACTTCGTTCAAAGAGAAAGAAAGAAAGAAAAAGTTTTGAATTAATTTCCTCGCGAGGCTCCAGGGCCCCGAGTGGACGGTTTGAAGCAGCCCAAAAGTATCTCATTAACTCTGGCGACCTTGTAGTAAGAGTCGAGGGTGCCACACGGTGCAAGTTAGCTGGCCCGAGCTAATAATTAACAGTCAGGTGGACACCGGGGACACAAATTAATGAAGTCCTTGTACTTTAATTGCTTTCTTCTTATATATTTAGAAATATTGGATCAGCTTTTAGTCAACATGTCCCATAAAGTTCACGAAATGTTCTCGTAACTTTATTTCGCAGTTAGTGTGGCCTAAAGGCGAATAGAAAAGTTATGGAAACATAGCAAGTTTGACGTAAAGGTAAATTAATACATTTAGAAAAGGATAACATTTTGTCTGTTAGAAAGCAGTGAATGTTCGATATACTGTACTTCGAAGCCTAATAAAATACGATTAATCCACAGCCTTTTATAATTTTGTTTTTTAGGCAACTCATATCATATGGGTTCTCAACGCAGTTTTCACCGGACGAAAACTCTACGTGACTAATAACACCGCAATTTAAAAATAATAATAGTAATTGGGACAAAATCGGTATGAATTTTCGCGTACTAATGAAGATGAGACGAAAAAAAATTTTTTTAAAGTAATTATACACATTTCTGTTGTGTACTTTTGTTTTTGTATTTTTCAAATTGAAAAAAATGAAAAGTTTTATTCCTGCTTTTAATTTTGATGTATTAATGTGAATAAAATTTTTTTTTGAATAAAAGGAAAGTGTTAACTCTATACAAAGTAAGTCATGGTTATTTTATTTATAGTTATAATAATGATTCAATTATTTCATAAATCAATAAATTAAATGAATAAAAACTGTTCTAAAATGAATACATTGTTTTTTAAATTTTTTGTTTGTTTTTTGTTTTTTTAATTTTGATGAATTAATGTGAATAAAATATTAATGATTGATGATGATAACGATGATGCTTGGTGGGGCGGATGTCCTTCCCCTTCACTTGTTCATTCCAGGCTGTCAGAGTCTCTTCTGTGAGGAGCTGGGAATTGAAGACAGTCAAGAGAGGAAGGAGACAAGTGAAGCAGAGGAGGTAAAGGATGATGAAGATGGAGAGAAGGAAGATGAAGCAAGTCAGGGAGCACCACAGGAAGAGGAGGATACCAAAAAAGTAAATAAAGCAGACCATGGAGGTTTCCAGCAGAAGAATAGAAAAAGGACTCGAACCAAGAAGACCACCGAACACCGAGAGAACATAAAAGAAGAGAAAGATGTCGTCGAGGACAAACCCGAAGCGGTGCTGATGAGCCCCGAGGCGAATTCGGCTCTGACGGAGCCCCCCGTTGGACTCATAACCACCCGCGACCTGTCCGAGCCTGTCTACCTTGGCTGCGATGGTTCAGATCTTGACGGACCCCCTGCTCCTGTACCCATGGTGCAATTGTCTCAGAACCCCGGCCCTGTTCAACTTGCCCCGACCAAGAGGTCACCCGGCCACTCTTTACCGCAGACTATGTCCCAACAAGCCCTGGAACCACTAGAGGTGACCAATAACAGATTTACACCTTCAACTTTATCACAGATGGAAGTCATACCCCAAAAGACGCAGTCTCCCATCTTGGTTCCAAGCAGCTATTTTAGGATATCATTTTGCCCATTTCCAGGCGTCCTTCAAAGACAACCTAGTCCAAAAATACAGGCACCAAAGCCAGTTTACTTTAGCAACATGCAATTTGGTAGCCATGTTGATCATGAGTAGACCCACTAATAAAATATCAAGAAGCCATGCCTGGAAAGACTCTGGAAATCTGCCGTTTTGTTATGATGCAGACAATTTACGGTCGTTTGTGAATTTCCAGTGGTCAATCAAAGACATACTTCTTTGAAAATACTGAGCCTGAAACCAGTTTTGCTTAGCCACATGAAATTTGATTGGGACATCTATCATAAGTAGACCCAAGAAAAAGTCTCCAGAAGCCATGACCAATACGACGCAGAAATATGTCATTTTGGCTCAAAGTGGCTGTTTTGGTCTTATTTTCAATGTCGATTCAACCTCCAAAGCCAGTTGAACTTGGCAACATGAAATTTGTTAGGCATGATTGTCATGAGCAGACTGACAGTGTGAACCATACCTGAAACGACTCAAGGTGTCAACCATTTGGTTTAAAGTGATCATTTTGGCTGTTTCAAGGCTTCCTTCATGCGGTTCGAAAATTGAACCCCCAGAAATCAGCATGACATTTGGTCTATCATGAGTTCACCCACAAAAAAATTCTCAAAAAGGCATGCTCAAAACCGGTAGTCTGCCATTTTGTGTACTGTAGTTACAGCCATTTTAGGGCCATTTGGCCTTTTCCAGTGGTTCTTCAGACAAACTAGTTAGGCAATATATCCCCTGAAACCATTTTCCTTTGGTAACGTGAAATTTGTTAAGCGTGTCCATCATAAGTAGACACGCAAAAAAAGTCTCAAGAAGTCTGCTATTTTAGCTCAAATAGGCCATTTTAGTATCATCATTTTGTCAATTTCCAAGAGTCCTTCAAAGATGTCCAATTTTTCCATTCTTGTGATATTACATGCCACTGGTCGCCGCTGTTGTCTGTGTCAGATGGCGATAACTCGGGTGTACTCCACCCGACACTCCATCCACTACAGCACCCGAGGTCACACAGAGAGCTGCCTGGTGGCACCTAAGAAGAAGACGAGGACGTTTTATAGCACCGGTGAGGCTCGCGTCATCTCTAGCGTTCATTCCTGTTTGGATTTGTCCTTATGGCCCATTTGTGTGTAGTTTATTTTTCTCTTTTGTATGGCGTCTAGATAAGTTGGAGCGCTTGGAGGCCTTGTTCCAGCGAGACCATTACCCCGATGCAGAGAAGAGGAAAGTTATCGCTGCATCAGTTGGCGTCACACCCCAGAGGATTATGGTCTGGCTCCCGCCTTCAATTCAGTACTACGCTAAAAGTGTCTTCACATAGAATCATTCCCAATTATACAATATTGAGCCTGTAGGGACGTACGAGTTTCTCGTCCTGTCCAACTCTGGTGTGATTCAGTTCCGTTCTTTTCATTTCCTTGTCTGCCCATGGCCAGTCCAATCCAGCTCTATTTTCACACCGAATGCCGTTGTTGTCTTGTCTGCCGCTCTTTTCCTTGTCTTGCGTCGTCCGGTCCTGCATGCGTCTGTTTCGATCATGTCTGGGCAAGATCTTCTTTTGTCGGGTCACGTTTCATACATTTCAAGCAGAAGTCTTCTTGTGACTCTTTCAAAGGGGAAAAAAATTAACAACGTATTATTTATTTCTTGTGGGCGACTGTCTGTGCGTTCTTGTTTTTTTGTCAGGTGTGGTTTCAGAACCGCCGAGCCAAGTGGCGCAAAGCGGAGCGCTTGGTTTCGTGTAAATACGAACAGCACCAGAGCAGGGCCAGGTGGAGCCCTACTCACCCCCAGGTCCATCTCGCGTTGCCCAACATGCCCGCCGCTGCCAGCAGGTGAACAGACGTGGAGCATATTTTCATGAACAAGGACTGCACTTCACTTAATGACCTCACAAGTGCTTTTCAGTAATGTGGGACTTGTGTTCTCTGGACACGTCGGCGCCATGATACCACCGCTTGAGCCTGTGCCACCTTTCTCGACAATGTCCACACACAGCCTGCCCTCCTGCAGCCAAATGCTGCTTACCAGTCCAGGTTTTCATTCTCCTGCGGGCTAGATTGTTCAAAGCTGTTCAGGGCTTGCATGCGGAGGTCTTAGAACGAGCCACGAATTGGCTCTCATGTCGCCTTTTAATCTGCGCCTTTCATCTCCAAGGTCAATCCAGAGTGAGTGAGCAGCCCAATTTCCAGCCCCGCCCCATGCAAAGCCCTCCCCCCCTGAGGCGAGCCAGCCTCCCCCTCCTCTCCTACAACCTCAACACGCCGACGCCGACACCGCCTCTCTTCATGGACGACCGAGACAGCCACCCCCTGCAGACAGATGCCAGGTCAGCGGAATGCACACAGCCTCATGCGTAAAAGGCCACACTCGCTGGACACTCCATTAGGGACACCTGAGCCATTTGATCGCTGTTTTTAAAAAAAAAAAATTAAAAAAAAAAGGGAAGAGCCCGCTTCTCTGGTGTTGCTTTAAATCTTTGAGTAAAGTGAACAGCTTTGGTTTTTCCTGTAAATTACTGACAAGAAATGCCAACAATTCCGACTACACAAATTATTATTTCGAGAATTTTTGGCGGACAAATGAACAGTGGGAAAAATATCAAAGAGCTGTCGTTATAATATTTCGGTGTGTGTTTTTCTAAATTGTAGAGAAAAAAAAATTAGTAAAAAAATATACATTTTAGATATTGTGACAGTGTGTTTGTAAAAGATTTTTGAACCAAACTTTGAACAAATGTGAAACAAAGTGAATGTGACATTTTTAAATTACACTTGTAATTCTTCTCTGACAGTGTTAATCATAAGCAAGCCTGAATGATGATAATTCATATTTATGTTGGACACTGAGTTATGTTCAAGTTTATTTTTAAAAAGTTATTTAATCGCTATCAAAATGTATCTTAAAATATCAATTTGACCAAATACTAATATATAAAAAACCAATAATATTTTTTAAAAATAGATAATTAAAAAAGTTAATTTTGTATTACAAAACAAAAAATTAACAAAGATTAAAGAAAAGATGCAAATTTTGCAAAACTACCCTCAAATATGGATTAAATTATTTAAAAAAAACTAAAATACAATACTATACTCATATGGTAACATTGGTGAGAAACTTTTTCAGTTGTTAAATAAAAAAAAAATTCTACAACTGAATGTGGAAATACAATGACATGATATAAAAATATAAATGTTTTAATCTGATCCGTCTTCAGTCAAAACCAAGCATTGATGATAATAATAAACTGTTGCTTTAATTAAAAAAAAAAGTGGAAATGTTAATAGGGTGACAAACAAAAACATCATATTGTCTTTTGCAAAGATGATTTCCCACTGAATATTTATCGATGATGTTTTGGACTGAATCAATGAATTTGCTGCATGCTCTTCTTGTCAGCTCTCTGTTCGACTTTGGCGACAAGCTGGACTATCTCGCGCCGGGCCATCAGAGCAACCCTCAGCTGTCCTTCCAGCTGCAGACTTCGTACCCGCCTGGACAGTCGCAGCCGCTTCAGACCTCCTCGTCCCTGCCCCCTCGCATGCCCTTTCCTACCCCCTCCCCCTACCTTACCCCCAACCCGGACACCATCTCCACTTCCTACTTCCTCTTTGGCCATGCGGGTAACTCCACCGCGGGCCACAACTACGTGCAGTCGCAGGGCGGGGGCCCGATTCTGCTGCAGCCCCCCAACCACGGTGAGTGTCTCGCGGTAACTCGGTTTGTTCTCATATTCACATTTTTGGGGGGAACGTCATCAACGGTATTCACTGAAAATCTTAATTAGCTGTTTTTGTGCTCAAGCTGAAGCGCTAAAATGCTGGGACTCTTGTTACGTTAATTTGATCGGTAGTGTTGAGAGTGATTGTGCTGGGAGGGAATATTACAAACTCGCCTTTAATTTATGAGTACAGTTGTGTCACATGGGTGCGCGATTGTGTACATGCTTAATGTGTGGCGCTGATGCTTTTTGATCCTCTTGACCTAAAGTGCTTTGCCACCATCTTGTGGCATCTTTATTAAACTACTGGGTGCAGATGTTTACTGTTCGCAGCAGGGTTGGTTCCCTGTCACCGTATTTCAAACGTACCGACTATGATTCCTTGCACCCATTCTGGCAAAACAGTTTAACCGGGAGAGCACCTTTTACAAAAATGGCCTTGTTCAGGCCTTTTTCCTGTTTTCCTGTACAAACGGAAGTAGAGTTCATAATTGTCCACATTCAGAGGCGGTAGGAGAGCCATATCAGAGGCGGGACGTGGCAGGGGTATGATGTTTTCACACTCATTTCTCCCACCCTGTTGTTTTGCCAGCATTTGTTTTTTTCACGGAATGCGGGGATAAATGGAACAAGTCGTGGGGGACTAAAGTCTACCCGGCAATTTCCCCCGTGTTTGCGTGCAGGTGGCATGGCGTCCTACCAGTCGTACCCTTGGCCGAACATGTACGCCCAACCTAGCGTTCGTCAGCTCGCTCCCAATTACACCGCCGGATTCGCCGGCGCTCGGGACCTCCAGATCCCGTCGACCTCGGGTAACATGCCCCAGTGCTTCCCATGCGCACACGGGCACGGCGGCCCCATCATCCTCCCGCCCGTGTCCACCCTCCAACCATCCCGCCTCAGGGCCGAGAGCGGGATGGGGGCCAAGGGGATGGCGGTGGCACCTCTGTTCCCCTCGCAGGCCAGCCCCGGCTCCCCTCGCAGCGCTGCGGCACCATCTTGTGACAAGGTTGAGAATGACAGCCCACGAGCGATTCACAGCCACTTCCAGTGTGACTTCTCTCCCATTCAGTTTTGAAAACGCGTTTGTGTGTTCTATATAATCAATCGTTGTAATATATACATATACATAATTATGTTTGGTCGAGACGCGTTTCGCAAGGTTGCAATAAATGGGTGTTGTTCACTTTAGATTCGTTTCAATCAAGCCTGGGATTGATGGGTCGGGCCTTCAGTGGGAATTTACCTGAAGCGTCACAAATGCTGCACATATTTTCTCATGGGATATTTCTCATAAATTTAACACGGCTCTCAAAGGACTTGGTTTAAAAACTAAAATGGGTCCTCCTGCAGATGTCCGCCGGTAGAGGGTGCTATTTCTTTCCATTTTGGACTGTTTGACTGTGGTGGAACTCCGGCAAACCTTCGTGGTCCACATTTTCTTTGATGATCATTTAAACAGAAAAGGAAGAGGTAAATATTTATTTTCTAATATCGCAACAGTATATTCTATTTCTTTAGTCATAATTAATGGAATTATAATCAATTCTTTAATCAAATAAGTTGATATCCATCATGGTTAGGTGTGTGTGTGATGATGACTGAAATTTCTTTCCTCTCAACCTCTCAATTTGTTCGTGTGTGTGTATATATAGTCCCACATAAATTGTGACATAACAGCAAAAATGGCAAATTATAAAGAATTTCACCAAAGTTTTCACAAGTGGGTAAACAACAGAACCTTCTGTGATGCCACTCTCGTATTAGCCCTGCCAGTTTTGAAATAAGTAATCATTAGTTTCCTACAAAAAATACAAATCAGATACAGAGATATAGATGTATAATGACAAAAATGCCTATTTAGATATGTAAAATGTTTTAATCTATGTAAAAAACACTGCATTTCTGTGGCTTTGGATGCAGTCAACTTCGGTGCCGGACTTTGAATGAAGCGCCCTCTTTTCCATTTTTTGATTTCCCGTTTGCTGGCTGCCTGCCTTGTTGCTGTTGGCGGCAGAGACACTTCACTGTGTGTGCGTGCGTGTGTGTGAGTGAGTGAGTGAGAGAGAGACTAAGAACGATTGTGTGAAATTATGAGAGTGTGTGAGTGTATCCCTATTTGAGTGTGTGTGAGAGAATGCCCGTGAGAGAATGTCATCCATCCATCTTCCGATCCGCTTATCCTCACAAGGGTCACGGCGGGTGCTGGAGCTTTTCCCAGCTGTCTTTGGGCAGTAGGCAGGGGCCACCCTGAACCGGTCGCCAGCCAATCGCAGGGCACACAGAGACGAACAACCATCCGCGCTCACACTCACACCTAGGGACAATTTTAGCGTGTTAATTCAGCTTGCCATGCATGTTTTTGGAATGTGGGAAGAAACCGGAGTACCCGGAGAAAACCCACGCAGGCCCAAGGAGAACATGCAAACTCCACACAGGGGGGCCAGAATGGAACCCGGTACCTCTGCACTGTGAGGTTGACGCGCTCACCACTGGACCACCGGGCCTTGTGAGAGAATGTGTCATGTAGAAATGTGTCTGAGTGTATGTGGGGGAGTGTGTCTTTGAGTGCGTGTGTGACTGAGTGTGTTAAGTTGAGAATGTGTGTGTGTGTGTGTGTGTGTGTGTGTGTGTGTGTGTGTGTGAGTGAGAGGACACACGCACACACACAGTGAGAGGACCTATTCATAATCTGTCCCATCCCGGCTTTAATGTGTACACGTGCCCGGTCCCTGCTTTGGACGGGACACTGAGCAGTCTGCAATTAAGCTTGTTTTTTTTTTTGTTTTTTTTTTCCCTCCCCACCCCCAATGCCCCCACCCCCGCTGTACTTCCTCTGCTGTGCACAGAGAGAGTATAGAATACAGGTGGAGGGCCTGAATGTATGTGTGTGTCTGTGTGTGTATGGGATGCTGCATTCCACCCTGATCCCGCTAAGTCAACATTGACAGGGATTTGGAAAGAAAGGCAAACTTGTTTCAATATTTATGTTTGTGGCAAGATCTTTGCAGCATCGCCCCCCCCTACACACACACACACACACACACACACACACACACACACACACACACACACACACACACACACAGTAGTTATCCAATGTGGAAGAAAGCTGGCAGTTCCGCCGGTTTGTGTTCCAAAGTTATGACAAATAGATGCATTAGCGGAAGGTGGCAATCAAAGTGAGAACAGATCCGCTTCTATGCAAAAAAAAAAGAGCAAATTATACTAGGTTTTTTTTTTCAATATTATTTTTTTACAGTGGGACATAATACATGCAGTGTGAGTTTGCTTGAGGCTTGTTTGCGCGGCGCAAGGCTGGCAGCGCCCCCTGATGTTTGATGTTCTCTGTCAAAATGTGCAGCCATAAAGGGCGACTTACAGGAATATTATGTAATTTGTGTCTGTTTACGTTTTTCAGTGAAAAGGTAAAGGAGAAAACCCTGTGGGATGCCACCGCATGTTAAAAAGAACCCGTTGTTTTGAAATCACCCATCTGTAAACATATGACATACAAATAAATACATATTTAATATCAAAATTAAAACAAGAGCTCTTCTTTGGTCGTCCCAGTATTACTTGGAAACATTTTATATGTTTGATATAGTTTAAAATAACAATATTATATTGTTTCTATCATATGAGAAAGACAAAATCCATTAAAAGTTTTTTTTTTTTTTTTAAATGGGGTCTCACACATCCTTTTCGTGTACTTTTAATTGCAAGTTTGAGTTGTTTCCATTTGCTTGTTCTCGTTCTAACGCATAAAGTCTTTTTTTCTTCCCTCCTTCAGGACACATTCCAGGCCTGTTTTGCTGATGTGCGTGTGTGTGTGTGTGTGTGTGTGTGTGTGTGTGTGTGTGTGTGTTACATAACCGCACTGTATATGCATAATTACTGTCTGTATACCTATGTGTGCAAACATACAGGATGCGTTGTCTCCCCTTCTGAGCCAAACAGGGTGCGTCCCTGAAATGCCCCGTTTTCCAGGAACCTCCTCAGACCTTTCATCTTGGCCCAGTCGGTATATACACACACACACACGCACACACAGATATATGTATAGACACGCATGTTGATTTTGTCATATGTTCACTTGAGTAGAAAATGTGTTGGACCACTTACTCTAGACCAGGGGCCCCCAACCTTTTTTGCCCCACGGACCGGTTTATGTCAGACAATATTTTCACGGACCGGCATTTAAAAGGTGTGACGGAAATAATACAACAAAATTATATGGTATGAGCTGCATAAAAACTGTGGCGTTTACGAAATATAATAATAAACACAAGGAACGTCTAATCTGGCCGCAACACTCCGATCGCTATGGCAATGTTTAATGGCTTCAAAATACGATACAACGCAAATTGAAAGTGCATGAAAATGACGACTCACCACAGCACCGAGCTTGATTTTCTGCAACCAGACGGCCCATCTCGGGTTAATAGGAGACAATGACACCTCAAGTGTGTGGTTTATGTCCAGTCTACTTCGTAATTTTGTTTTCGTCGCCGTTGCTGCAGAACGCCCCCACCCCCCTCCCCCGCCTCACACAGGTAGGATGTCGGAAATAGCAACAGTGCTATTGTGGCCATCTCAGAGTATTCAGCCATAATTTTGATCCAGTTGTCTTGAACGTACTTTTAAGGCCGCCGTCATTTGCGATCTCCAGCAGTTTTTTTTACTCATTTTGCGAGCTCCCGCGTTTTGTTTTGAAGTAATCGGTCACTTGAAGGAGAAGCTTGGTTTGACGTGTGTCAAGCGTAACACAGACGGATGTAACGGAGAATCCGGTAGTTTTTCAAAATAAAACATCTTTCGTATTCCGAAATAAATGAAACAGAATTAAGGCAAGTTCTTTCTGTGCGGCCCGGTACCAAATGCCCGGCGGACCGGTACCGGTCCGCGGACCGGCGGTTGGGGCCCCCTGCTCTAGACTCTCCCTCCTCTGGTTTGCATCCTCACTTGCGGTGTGTGTGCTTGTGTGCGTATGTGTGTAAGGGAAGGCGAGAGTAATATGTGCTCGGCTGGGTGGGGTGGGATTTTGGTGGTCAAAAGAGGGCTCTCTGTTTCATATGGATGTGGCCCCATTGATGTGTATAGACTGTATACGTGAATGTATTGATGAAAGTGTTTTTGTTTTTCCTTCCTTCCCCCTCCCCTTGTGTTTACACCCTCAGGGGGGTCTCGGCAGTTCCCAAACACCACCGTGGTGCAGGGATGCAACTTTGTTATAAGCATCTTTTGTGAGGTTTTTTTTTTTTTTTTTTTTTTTTGTCCATGTGTTTTTGCCAGGAAAAGACTTCACAAATATATTTAGTGTAATTGACTTAAGTTTATGAGGTACCTACCAAATAAAAAAAAAAAAATGGTGCTCTTTCTTCTGTGATGCTGTCTGTGTTGTATAATTCCGTAGACGAAGCAGCACACAGTTCTTTCCTTCCAAGACGTAAGTTTGCATACGATCTCATTTGCGTTATTTTTATACGGTCCGTCATTGGTCCAATTCTTTAAAGTCACAAAATTACAATAAAAAAATATGACCAAAAAAAAAAGTCTTCAGGTTATGAAACTTGTCAGATTCCAAGTCGAGAGTACGTCATGTTGCGAGGAAATCAAAGACAAGTCGCGATTATATGAGAAAGTCGTAATGGAACAGATTAGGATAACATTACGTGGAAAAAAATTGCAATGTTCGAAGACTAATGTCAGATCTAAAATCAAAATGTAGCATTGGTAGAATAAAGGATGTACAAAAGTTTCAATATGGTAAAAGCTAAAATGCAACATTAGTGGATTTTTTTCTGTACAAAGAAAAAGATTAAATGTTAGTAGAATAAAGTAAAGAAGAAAAGTCCCGATTCGGGTAAAAAAATTGGCATGTAGCTACTCAGCCTCCATATATAGTCATAATATTACGAGATAAGTCACAGTATCATTAGTTGTGCAAGAGTGAAGTTGGTTTTGAAGACATTTTACAATATTTTGATCACAACATGAGAGAAGTTGTAATATTGCAAGAATGAAGTCATCTGTTTTATGAAGACGGTGTCACAAGTTATCACAAGTCATAATTTTGTGGCATGGAAGTCTTATCTATTAGTTTGTTGTGTGCTTTACCCGGCGAGAAAAAAACAAGTGGGCAAAGGAAAGACCCCTGTGGGCCGCCATACATTTTAAAAAAAGCCGCACTAGACTTTTGAAATCGGTAATCACAAAGATGATTTATGATACAAGTGTTCACAGAACAAATTCAACTTGTAAGTCAAGGCACCACTGTAATCTTTTAAACGTGCGCACACACACGTACTCACACACACGTGCAGTAATGCACAGTGAGCGGTCTGTGTGCGCGTCTGTCCCCCGTGACTTCCTTCGATGTGTTTTGGGAACGTGTGGAGAAAAGAGGAATTCATGTTGGTGTTTATTTGGCCCGATCTGAGCGCCCTTACCCCAGTTGCTCCTGTACCCCCTGATACCCCCCCCCCCACCCACACACACACATACCTGTCCATTCTAGGTGTTTGCCTTTCTCCAACCACCATTTTAGGTCCTCCCAGGGCAGGTATTTTCCTCTTGTCAGGCACAAACATGGCCAACTAAAAGAAGGTGTGTGTGGTGGGGGCATGGGGCGGGGGGGTGCTGAGTGCGCCTGAAGTACTTGCATTGATAACCTGCAGCTCAGAGTCCCTCAGTCTCACTCTGACTGTGGCCAGGAACTCCCCGGGTGCGTACGTCTGTCAGTCTCAGCTCAAACGTCGCCCTCGCTTGCCGCCATGACGCTCACGCCGCCGCCGCTGCTCCTGGTGCTCATGCTGGCGCTGACGGGTGCGCAGGCCACCGTGGACCGGCGCACAGCCGCCGCCATGGGTGAGTAACAGGAACTATGATCGATGCAGCTCATTTTGGATCCCTGTAGTGTGGTCTTTTTGGAGATTTTTCTAGTCACGCACCGCAGTGAGGGAAGAGGAGGGGGGGAACTGAGTGGTAAAAATAAAATGTTAATTGTGAACAAAATTGGCAATTTTTTTTTTTTTTTTAGCGTCTTGTGCTGAAATTGGTGCTTGTTTGTAGATGAAAATGGTGCAATGTGATGTAGTCGTGCGAGTCATGCATTGAATCTACTTCTGTTGTTTTTGTGTTAATTTTGTCTCTTAGTACACATTTTCTTTTCAATTTATTTTTGTTTTTTATAGAAATATGAAAAGAATATTTGATTTTTTATTGTACATTTTCTGTTTTATTTTCACGTTATTTTTTGTATTTTAAAAAGATTATATTCGTTTATTCATTTATTTTTTAGTAATTAGAAATACAAATTCGCTTTTTTTCATCAGCTTCAGCTGTTCTCTCCGTCTTTATTTTTAATCTAATTAAAAAAAAAATCTAATTGTTTGAAGCATCTGAAGGAGACGCAGTCATCTATTTTTTTGCCTCTTCTATCATTGTCATTGTGGCATCTAATTGCTTGATTGATTTATTTGAATATACAAACAAAAAACAATGCATATAAGGGAAAAGTGGAAAGAAATAACATCATTCAGCACAGTCTGGATTAAAATCAGTTTATAGTAAAAAAAAATACGTGTGCCGTAATGTAACAGTTGTAACAGTTGTGGTCTTTGTCCCCCCCGCCCCCGCGAGCAGCAGCAGGGCTTTGCAAGACGCGCCCCACCGACCTGGTGTTCATTGTGGACAGCAGCCGCAGCGTCCGCCCCTCAGAGTTCGAGCAGGTCAAAGTCTTCCTGGCCAAGGTCATCGAGGGCCTGGATGTGGGGCCCAACGCCACCCGAGTGGGCGTGGTCAACTACGCTAGCCGCGTCAAGAATGAGGCATGTGGGCGCACCTCACTTAAAAAAAAAAAATTAAAATCTCTAACCTAGACTGTCTGGTTTGGGCTTTTAGGTATCACTGAAGACGCACCGCACTAAGGCCGGCCTGATCAAGGCGGTGACCAAAGTGGAGCCCCTGTCCACGGGCACCATGACTGGTCTGGCCATCCAGTTCGCCCTCAACGTGGCCTTCAGCGAGAACGAGGGCGCCCGGGCCAAGTCTCCTGACATCAGCAAGGTAACACGCACAAACAACAACAATGTCTACAGTGGGTGTAAAAAGTCCCCTGTTGAAATGGCAGGTTTTGGTCATGAAAAATGAGACCAAGGTAAATCATGGCAAAACTTTTTTCCAACATTCATGTGACTTATAATGTCTAATAACTCAAATGGGGGGAATCTTTTGCAGAGGAGAACCAAAAATAAACAACCGAGATAATATAGTTACACAAGTGTGCACACCCTCATAAATTAGGGTGTGGCTATGTTCATAAGCCACCATTTAAAGCGACTCTGATTAACCCCAAATTAAATTCAGATAGAATAATTTCTTTGTTCTTGCAGGTGGCCATCATCGTGACGGACGGCCGCCCCCAGGACAATGTGAAGGACGTGGCCCAGCGGGCACGCGACGCCGGCATCGAGATCTTCGCCATCGGCGTGGGCCGCGTGGACATGAGCACGCTGAAGCAGATGGCCAGCGAGCCGCTGGATGACCACGTGGACTACGTGGAGAGCTACAGCGTCATTGAGAAGCTCACCAAGAAGTTCCAGGAGGCTTTCTGTGGTAAGATGAAGAAGAAGGTGTTCAGGGGTGTGGGGGGAGGGGGGCTGTGTGAAAGAAGAAATACCGTCATAATGCTTGCTGCTTTACTGAGGGTAAGGTGTTTAGGGCTATTGCAATGCATCACCTCTTTGTGCTGCTTATCTAGTGTCTGACATTTCCGTTTACCTACCTACCTACATTAGAGGACTGAACAACTGGTTGAATTCAAAACGACATTGCAATGTACACTATTAGAATGCAATTTTCAAACCGCAAAAGCTGTCAAAAAAAAAAAGAAAAAGCTGGATTTAACAACAGCACCGATTTGCCGCTCCAATTTAAAACCCAAGTTCGAGAATGTTGCCTTTAGAAAAGACACTAGGGGGCCCAGGTCACCAGGGTGGGATGTACAGGGGCCACGTGGACCAAACATCTTAACTTCAGTTTTTTGTTGGTTTTTTTTTCATTGAAATTTAAGGAATGTGGTGACATCCATGCTTCGATTTCCTCTAGATGGGACAAAATGTGCTCACCTGGCCAAAAATCTGACTGTCATCCCCTTAGTGGTGAAAGGAAATACTATGGTTTCTTAGGATGGAGCCTAATGGCAGCAAACGCAGTGAAAACAGCAGGGGCGCCAAAATGGAACCCTGTGCAACGCCATACACGATAGTGGGGCAGAGCGGCAAGCTTTTTTTTTTCTTGTTCTCATTATACTACATTTGAATTCATTAAATTGTTCAGCCCAACGAGATACATAGTTCTTCGCCGACCTACTTAGTACATTATCTTTCCTCTCACCTCTATATTGAATGACTTAATGGTTCCCCAACTCCACCCACACGCAGTGAAAACAGCAGGGGCGCCAAAATGGAACCCTGTGCAACGCCATACACGATAGTGGGGCAGAGCGGCAAGCTTTTTTTTTTCTTGTTCTCATTATACTACATTTGAATTCATTAAATTGTTCAGCCCAACGAGATACATAGTTCTTCGCCGACCTACTTAGTACATTATCTTTCCTCTCACCTCTATATTGAATGACTTAATGGTTCCCCAACTCCACCCACTAAATGTTACTGGACGTCAAAAGGATGATGTCGTTTAATTTCATTCCCATTTTAAGGATCCACTTCATTCAAACCTGACAGTGGATCATTAAAATCCCACGACTGACATAGCTGTTGTTTTTTTTTTCCCCCCCTCTCCTAACCTGCCCTCTTCTCCCTCCCCCCCTTTTTCCTCCTCTGTGTGCTTGTGTGTGTGTGCGCGTGTACAAACCTCACGCAAACACACACAGTGTCGGACCTGTGTGCCACCGGGGATCATGACTGCGAGCAGGTATGCCTCAGCTCCCCCGGATCGTACAAGTGCGCCTGCAAGGAAGGCTTTACCCTCATGGACGATGGGCGCAGCTGCAGCGGTGAGTGCCAGCGAATGCGCGCTCGTGCGCTAAGCCCTCGGGCCATTTGTAAAACAACTCGATGAACACGCCGAGTTGTCTTATGAGATCGTAAGGGTACATGGAACTTAGTGACTGCTCAAACAGCTTTCCATATGCTCACTTTAGCGTAGCTGTGAAGCTATGAGACTGAAGTGTGTGTTTGTGCGTGTGTGTGTGTGTGTGTGTGTGTGTGTGTGTGTGTGTGTGTGTGTGTGTGTGTGTGTATATGTGTGTGGGACCAGCATGCAGCAACTCTGCGATCAAAGTCTTCCTGGCCAAGGTCATCGAGGGCCTGGATGTGGGGCCCAACGCCACCCGAGTGGGCGTGGTCAACTACGCTAGCCGCGTCAAGAATGAGGCATGTGGGCGCACCTCACTTAAAAAAAAAAAATTAAAATCTCTAACCTAGACTGTCTGGTTTGGGCTTTTAGGTATCACTGAAGACGCACCGCACTAAGGCCGGCCTGATCAAGGCGGTGACCAAAGTGGAGCCCCTGTCCACGGGCACCATGACTGGTCTGGCCATCCAGTTCGCCCTCAACGTGGCCTTCAGCGAGAACGAGGGCGCCCGGGCCAAGTCTCCTGACATCAGCAAGGTAACACGCACAAACAACAACAATGTCTACAGTGGGTGTAAAAAGTCCCCTGTTGAAATGGCAGGTTTTGGTCATGAAAAATGAGACCAAGGTAAATCATGGCAAAACTTTTTTCCAACATTCATGTGACTTATAATGTCTAATAACTCAAATGGGGGGAATCTTTTGCAGAGGAGAACCAAAAATAAACAACCGAGATAATATAGTTACACAAGTGTGCACACCCTCATAAATTAGGGTGTGGCTATGTTCATAAGCCACCATTTAAAGCGACTCTGATTAACCCCAAATTAAATTCAGATAGAATAATTTCTTTGTTCTTGCAGGTGGCCATCATCGTGACGGACGGCCGCCCCCAGGACAATGTGAAGGACGTGGCCCAGCGGGCACGCGACGCCGGCATCGAGATCTTCGCCATCGGCGTGGGCCGCGTGGACATGAGCACGCTGAAGCAGATGGCCAGCGAGCCGCTGGATGACCACGTGGACTACGTGGAGAGCTACAGCGTCATTGAGAAGCTCACCAAGAAGTTCCAGGAGGCTTTCTGTGGTAAGATGAAGAAGAAGGTGTTCAGGGGTGTGGGGGGAGGGGGGCTGTGTGAAAGAAGAAATACCGTCATAATGCTTGCTGCTTTACTGAGGGTAAGGTGTTTAGGGCTATTGCAATGCATCACCTCTTTGTGCTGCTTATCTAGTGTCTGACATTTCCGTTTACCTACCTACCTACATTAGAGGACTGAACAACTGGTTGAATTCAAAACGACATTGCAATGTACACTATTAGAATGCAATTTTCAAACCGCAAAAGCTGTCAAAAAAAAAAAGAAAAAGCTGGATTTAACAACAGCACCGATTTGCCGCTCCAATTTAAAACCCAAGTTCGAGAATGTTGCCTTTAGAAAAGACACTAGGGGGCCCAGGTCACCAGGGTGGGATGTACAGGGGCCACGTGGACCAAACATCTTAACTTCAGTTTTTTGTTGGTTTTTTTTTCATTGAAATTTAAGGAATGTGGTGACATCCATGCTTCGATTTCCTCTAGATGGGACAAAATGTGCTCACCTGGCCAAAAATCTGACTGTCATCCCCTTAGTGGTGAAAGGAAATACTATGGTTTCTTAGGATGGAGCCTAATGGCAGCAAACGCAGTGAAAACAGCAGGGGCGCCAAAATGGAACCCTGTGCAACGCCATACACGATAGTGGGGCAGAGCGGCAAGCTTTTTTTTTTCTTGTTCTCATTATACTACATTTGAATTCATTAAATTGTTCAGCCCAACGAGATACATAGTTCTTCGCCGACCTACTTAGTACATTATCTTTCCTCTCACCTCTATATTGAATGACTTAATGGTTCCCCAACTCCACCCACTAAATGTTACTGGACGTCAAAAGGATGATGTCGTTTAATTTCATTCCCATTTTAAGGATCCACTTCATTCAAACCTGACAGTGGATCATTAAAATCCCACGACTGACATAGCTGTTGTTTTTTTTTTCCCCCCCTCTCCTAACCTGCCCTCTTCTCCCTCCCCCCCTTTTTCCTCCTCTGTGTGCTTGTGTGTGTGTGCGCGTGTACAAACCTCACGCAAACACACACAGTGTCGGACCTGTGTGCCACCGGGGATCATGACTGCGAGCAGGTATGCCTCAGCTCCCCCGGATCGTACAAGTGCGCCTGCAAGGAAGGCTTTACCCTCATGGACGATGGGCGCAGCTGCAGCGGTGAGTGCCAGCGAATGCGCGCTCGTGTGCTAAGCCCTCGGGCCATTTGTAAAACAACTCGATGAACACGCCGAGTTGTCTTATGAGATCGTAAGGGTACATGGAACTTAGTGACTGCTCAAACAGCTTTCCATATGCTCACTTTAGCGTAGCTGTGAAGCTATGAGACTGAAGTGTGTGTTTGTGCGTGCGTGTGTGTGTGTGTGTGTGTGTGTGTGTGTGTGTGTGTGTGTATATGTGTGTGGGACCAGCATGCAGCAACTCTGCGACGGATGTGGTCTTCCTGATCGACGGCTCCAAGAGCGTGCGTCCCGAGAACTTTGAGCTGGTCAAGAAGTGGATCAACCAGATCGTGGACAAGCTGGACGTGTCAGACAGCAAAGCGCACGTCGGCCTGGTGCAGTACTCCAGCCTGGTCCGACAGGTAAAAAAAAAAAAACAGAATATGAGATTAGATGAAACGTGCAAAAAAATATATATATTTCAATATTTTGTAATATTTTTAAATCTTTTTAAGCTCAGAGTAAAGTATGGTTAAAAACATCCTTTCTTCGCCATCAGGAGTTCCCGCTTGGCCGCCACAACAACAAGAAGGACCTGAAGGAGGCGGTGAAGAAGATGGCCTACATGGAGCGAGGGACCATGACCGGCCAGGCCTTGCGCTATCTGACCGACAAGAGCTTCAGCGTGGGCCACGGCGCCCGACCCGGCGTCTCCAAGGTGGGCATCGTCTTCACGGACGGACGCAGCCAGGACTACATTGGCGACGCCGCCAAGAAGGCCAAGGAGATGGGTGAGCCCCCCTCCCAGCCCCCCCACGGGAAATAATGCCCAACAATTCATTTATTTATTGAACGGTTTGTGTTTTTGTGGCAGGCTTCAAGATGTACGCCGTGGGAGTGGGCAACGCAGTCGAGGACGAGCTGAAGGAAATCGCTTCGGAGCCCAAGGGCGAACACTACTTCTACACGGCAGACTTCAAGGCCATGACGCAGATCGCCAAGAAGCTGCAGATTAATATCTGCCAAGGTTGCCTGACTCCACCTGTGTACTCTCGACGACATATGATGTCATCTTATCTCATGAGACATCAACTTTTCAATGTCCTGTGACCCACAGAGGACGACCCATGCGAGTGTGACTCCCTGGTTAAGTTCCAGAAGAAAGTAGAAGAAGCCCTGCAAGTACTAACGAAGAAAAATATCCTTGATCGCAAGAGTTGAGTCTGAGAGGAAACAGAAAGTCAGCCATTTTGATTGCATTTTAGGTCCTTTACAGGGGTCCTTCATGTGTGAGATGAAGGTCCCACCCTGAAAAAGCAGCTTTTATTGTTATTGTTGTTAATCTTGCTGTTGTTGTTGTTGACCTTAACCGATGTCTTACTAGAGAATATGTCCAAGAGGATCGCTCTGCTGGAGAACAAAATCGTCTGAGGACTTGCATCACGTAGTTCCCCATAAAACCCACTTTAGACCCCCTCTTCCCCCCCCCCCCCACCCCCCAAGTCGACGCACCGGTTGCCATGGAAACTGTGCCTTTGTAAATACAAGTCTTCCCTCATAGGGAAACCACAGATGGTACCCCCCACCCCTCCCCCCAAAGTAGCACTTTCACTATTTTTTTTTGTTAAATCTGTCCTATTCCTCACCCCCTTCTGTTCTTGTATATAAAATATTTAAAATACAAGAAAAGGAAGAGAAAGATTTGTATAATAAGGGTACGACCATGGTGTTTATTTTCCTAAATAAAAGTAATTTAGGAAGTAAATCAAAGATTGTGATTCTTTCCCCCCTCGTCATGATTGACGCTGATGGCACACTTTACAAACTTGATTTCCCAAAACGTGGTCTATCGGGACTTCAAGGACCCCTCAGGCCAGTCTGTCTCTTGGTTTTTGGATATGACGTTTAGAATAAGCTATTACAAAAAGAAAAATCGTGAATTGATTTTCGTCTGAATATAATCAACAGTAAGATCGACACGGTACAGACAAAGTGTAATACTTTGGTGTTCCATTTTTATTTCTCTTACGAGACACAAAGAGAGAAAATGGCTAGTCTGTTTGATTTGGATTCCCGGAAGTTATCAGGACAGCATTTCTCATAATGACCACAAGATGGCGACAGCGTGGCGCCGGATGACGATGATGATGATGATGATGATGATGATGATGATGATGAGTGTTATGGAACGAGCCATCCCTCGGAAGGTGAGGCGCCCAGCGCTCGCCCCGCCGCAGAGGAGTGGAAGTAGCCGCTCCACAACCCTCCTGAAACAATACTCAGGCGAGGTCCCTTCCGGGGACCACGCTGGGTGTCAACCTCGCGAGGCATCGGCGAGAGTCGTACGGGGTGTGGGACCCGGGAGGGGGCGCAAGTCCCTGACGGGGGCCGATTGCCCAGGAGGAGGAGAATGAGCCATCGCCAGCCTCAATTCCTCAGGCGCCAATGACACGCGGCAAAAAATGTTACTGGTTCTCCTATTTTTAAAAAAAAAAAGAGGAAAATCACAAAAGTAGAAGTAAAACCTGAATGGAAACAAACTAATGGCAACAAAAAGTTCCACCTGGGTGATAACTTCAGATAAAGAAAGGAAGAAAGAAATGTTCTGTTTTTTCCCCCTTTTGCGCAAGCAACAGGAAGGTTGGTTTCAATGAGACTTCAGGCCTGGAGGTGGATGTGCACATTGCACAAGGGGATTCTCGAGGGGCCGTGCACAGATGGAGCAAGACGGCGATTGCCTGCGTGGCTTTTGTCAACGAACGTGAACACATGAACAAATGTTTGTTGTTTTTTCAATGAGACTTCAGGCCTGGAGGTGGATGTGCACATTGCACAAGGGGATTCTCGAGGGGCCGTGCACAGATGGAGCAAGACGGCGATTGCCTGCGTGGCTTTTGTCAACGAACGTGAACACATGAACAAATGTTTGTTGTTTCCTAAAACGCCTTACTATACATGGTCGTTTTTTTCATCTAAAAACGCCTTACTATACATGGTCTTTTTTTTCGTCGAAAAACACCTTACTATACATGGTCGTTTTTTTCGTCTAAAAACGCCTGACTATACATGGTCGTTTTTTTCAGCTAAAAACGCCTTCCTATACATAGTCATTTTTTTCGGCTAAAAACGCCTTACTATAATGCCTTACTATACTATGTCGTTTTTTTCGGCTAAAAACGCCTTACAAAACATGGTCGTTTTTTCGGCTAAAAACGCCTCACTATACATGGTCGTTTTTTTCGTCGAAAAACGTCTTACTATACATGGTATTTTTTTTCGTCGAAAAACGCCTTACTATACATGGTCGTTTTTTTCGTCTAAAAACGCCTTACGATTCATGGTCGTTTTTTTCGTCTAAAAACGCCTTACTATACATGGTCGTTTTTTTCGGCTAAAAACGCCTTACTATACATGGTCGTTTTTTTTCGGCTAAAAACGCTTACTAGACATGGTCGTTTTTTTTCGGCTAAAAACGCCTTAATACATGGTCATTTTTTTTCGTCTAAAAACGCCTTACTATACATGGTCGTTTTTTTCGTCTAAAAACGCTTTACTATACATGGTCGTTTTTTTCGGCTA